TTGGCCTGCTGTGTTCATCCAGCCTTGCACCTTGTTGTCTCACACTTATATGTAATATCTGCAGTGTTAGGTACTGCACCTTATAAAAAAGGTAGCTACTGCTTGACATAATGGAAAGAAACAAGCCAAGGTGAACTGCTTTTAACCTGGGGAAGGGCAAGACAGGAAACATGGTCCAGATCTCTCCCATGCTCAGAAATATGGATAATATAAAGAAACTATTTAACTCCACTGTGAACACAAAACTGGGTGTAAAGTGAAGATGACTCGAGCCAAGTTAGAAGGGTATCTTTGCTTGCATTTTAACTGTAATCCCACTGCTATATCAAAGTCTCCCATGTGATTTACCATTTGTCTGGTACGCTGCGATCCATAGAATCAATCAGGCTGAATGGTTTTTCTCCTGCATACCTCCATGGCTGCAGATAGCTCAACCACGTTTCCAAAACCTGCACAGAAAAGCTGAACTATTAAAAAGAGGACAGGCAAAAATTAAAAATTGAACCCTCATTCCAAGGGGCCTTTTGAGAGTCAAGTCATCTGGCTGTATGATTATAAATTTTGAACTTGCAGCTCGATTTTTTCTGAAGATTGAAGCTATCGAGCCGATTCATCAGACTGAAATCATGACACGTTGTTGTACTGGTCATGGCAGCAGAACTAACAACATCACACTGGCACAGTAATACTGTAGTCCTACACTACAACAGGTCCCCGATTTACAAATACCTGACTTACAAATGTGATCCTATCAGGGTGTAATTCTAAAGATCCATCGTATGAACATTTTCCGGACTTATAAACGGCTATATTGTCCTGCTTTGCGTTCCAACCTGGGTACAAATCGATTTGCAAACGGTCTCAAGAAAAGAAGCTATTTGCAACCCAGGGACTGCCTGTCCATTGGCAGCAATACGCTCAATACAGATAGGAATTATACTGTCGTCTGTCAGAACAGTAAAAGTTCAAAAGTGTTTTAATGATGATCTGGACTGTGTGTGATATTGTAAAACAGCTTTGGTCAAAGTTGGGATTTAAGGAAGGTCTTGGAGATGGAGAAGCAGAAGGATAGAGGGAAGGAGTTCATCATTTGAGAACAGAACTACGAGCGGTGCTGATAGGTGCGGAGGAGAGGGCTAAGAGTTCTTGGAAATGTTAGGGCTGGAGAAAACTTTTGAGGTGAGAAAAGGAGGTGAGAAGACAAGGATGTGAATTCAAGTTTGATCTTGGCTAATCATACTTCAAAATTCAGTCAACTTCTTGTCTTTGAATCATTTCAGGCTGGATCATTAAGTATAAATCAGGCCGAGATATATTTTTAATAAGTAAGGGAATCAAGGGTCACAGGGAAAGGCAGAGGAATGGAGTTGAGGATTATCAGATCAGCCATGATCTCACTAAATGGCAGAGCAGACTTGATGGGCTGAATGGCCTACTCCTGCTCCCAGTTTGCATGGTCTGTCGAAATTCAGTTACTAGCATCGGAACATGGCAAAGGTTGTACAGATGTCCAGTGACCCTTCTTCAGAACTGAAACGTTAACTCAAATTTTTCTTCACAGATGTTGCCAGACCTGCTGAGCTTTTCCAGCAACTTCTGTTTTTACCCCCACTATTCAATCTGGTGTCAGTTACTGTGCTTTGAGGAGGAGTTCAACATAATTCCATGTTATAAAGGCTGTTCTATGATAGACATAAAAACATGCAGTGGTCAGTTGCAACATACCGCTCTAAAGGAGGCATCCAGAGGCCAGTGACTGAAACATTGCTGCAGGAACACGTACAACTTCTGCTGAAAAAAACATGAAATCACAGCCCTGCAAGAAAATCAAAGAACAAATTACATCCACCTTAACTGAGCAGCCATGTGCAAGAAATGGAGAAAGATTGCTTCACAGAATCTTAATCTTCACTTTCATAATCAACGGATGTAGTTCAGCCTAAAACCTCCTCCAACCCACAGGAGAGCCATGTGATACAGAACATCATTGCACTTAAGCAGCAAACAACTCTTCTACATTTATTACTGTCATTCACCTCTCAGAAACACACTTGGGTACACAGAGATTTACAGCACAGAACAGACCCTTCAGTCCAACTTGTCCATGCCGACCAGATATCCTAAATAAATCTAGTCCCATTTGCCAACATTTGGCCCAAATCCCTCTAAATCCTTCCTACTCATATACCCATCCAGATGCCTTTTAAAATGTTGCAATTGTACCAGTCTCTAACTCCTCTGGTAGTTCATTCCATACATACACACCCTCTGCATGAAAAGGTTGCCCCCAAGTGCCTTTTAAATCTTTCCCCTCTCACCTTAAACCTATATCCTCTAGTTTTGGACTCCCCTATGCTGGGGAAAAGACCTGTCTATTCACCCTATCCATGCCCCTCACGATTTCATAAGCCTCCATAACGTCATCCCTCATCCTCTGATGCTCCATGGAAAATAGCCCCAGCCTATTCAGCCTCTCCCTGTAGCTCAACCTTGGTAACATCCTTGTAAATCTTTTGAATTCTTTCAAGTTTCACAACATCTTTCCTATAGCAGGGAGACCAGAATTGAACACAGTATTCCAAAGTGGCCTAACCAATGTGCCGTACAGCCGCAACATGACCTCCCAACTCCTATTCTCAATGTACTGACCAATAAAGGCAAGCATACCAAATGCCTTCTTCACTACCCTGTCTACCTGCGATTCTGCTTTCAAGGATCTATGTACCCAAGGTGTCATTGTTTAGCAACACTCCCTAGAACTATACCATCAAATGTATAAGTCCTACCCTAATTTGCCCAACCAAAATGCAGCACCTCACATGTACCCAAATTAAATTCCATTTGCTGCTCCTCAGCCCATTGGCCTATCTGATCAAGGTCCTGCGAGGTAACCTTCTTCACTGTTCATTGCACTATCAATTTTGATGTCATCTGCAAAACTACAACCATGCCTCCTATGTTCACATCCAAATTATTTAAATAAGTGACAAAAAGCAGTGAACCCAACACCAATTCTGCAGCACACTGCTAGTCACGGGCCTCCAGTCTACCTCCAAGCCAATTTTGCATCCAAATGGCTAGCTTTCTCTGGATTCCATGTGATCTAACCTTGCTAACCAGTCTACCATGCGGAAGTTCATTGAATGCCTTACTGAAGTTCATACAGACAACATCATCCACCACTCTGCCTTCAACAACCTTCTTTGTCACTTCTTCAAAAACTCAATCAAGTTAGTGAGACACGATTTCCCATGCACAAAGCCATGCGGACTACCCCTAATCAGTCCTTGCCTTTCCAAATACATGTAAATTCTGTCCCTCAGAATCCCCTCCAATAACTTATCCACCATCGATGCAGTTTCCTGGTTTCTCCTTGCCACCTTTCTTAAATGGTCTTCCAGCACCTCACCTGTGGCTATCGATGATACAAATATCTCAGCAAACAACTCCCTAGCTTCCCACGAAGTTCTAGGGTACACATGATCAGGTCCTGTGGATTTATTTGCCTTTAGACGTTTTAAGACATCCAGCACGTCCTCCCTTGTGACATGACACTTTAAGATATCATTATTTGTTTCCCGATGTTCTCTAACTTCCATACTCTCCTCCACAGTAAACAGTGATGTGAAATATTTGTTTAATATCACACCCACCTTCTGCAGCTCCACATGTAGGCAGCCTTGCTGATCTTTAAGGGACTCTATTCTCTCCCTCGTTGCCCTTTTGTCCTTAATGTATTGTAGAATTCCTTTGGATTCTCCTTAACCCAATTTTCCAAAGCTATCTCATGTTCCTTTCTTGCTCTCCTGATTTCCCTCTTAAGTCTACTCCTACTGCCTTTATACTCAAGGGATTCATTCGATCCCTGCTGTCTATACCTGACATATGCTTCCTTCCTTTTCTTGACCCAGAGCCTCAATTTCTCTAGTCAACCAACATTCCCTACACCTACCAAACTTGCCCTTCACACTAACAAGAACATTGTCTCTGGACTCTCGTTATCTCATTTTTGAAGGCTTCCCACTTCCCTCAGGGGTTAAAGCTGTAACTTCAAGGCATCAAGGCATGATCAACAAATGTTGACATCCACAACTAGTGGGATCATAAAAATTAAAGGCCAAGGACTGAAAAGCCATCAACTCAATTAATGATGTCTCTTCAATAAACCCAATGGTTGCCCCTCTTTTTCGGAGCAAAGTCCATCTCTCCATTCCCATTCTCTCATCAAAACGCACCTCTCTGGTCCTGTCATCAGCTGAAAGCTCATTTCGGTTTTATTCTGTGTTATTCATGGTGGAAGACACTAGTAGCATAACAGAGCTTCAAGGAAGTCAGGGGGCAGGGGTGAGCAGTGGCCATCACTAAGCAGAAGGTGCTGGAGAAGCTGAAAGATTAGAAACTTGTAGGTGGATATATTGCCTGGATCAGTTGGACTAAACCAGGAGTTCTGAAGGAGATAGCTGTGGAGATTGCGGAGGCATCAGTGGTAATCTTTCAGGAATAACTAGAGTCAGGGAGGATGTTAGAGGACTGGAAAATGGCTAATGTAACACCCTATTTAAGAAGGGAGGGAGGCAGAAGACAGGAAACTATAGGTTTGCTAGTCTGACCTGGGTCATTAGTAAGATTCGAGAGTCTGTTATTAAGGATGAGATTGCGGACTACTTGCAAGCGCATAGTAATAAGGCTGGGTCAGCATGGCTTCATCAAGGGGAGGTCACGTTTGACAAATCTGTTAGAATTCTTTGAGGTGGTAATGAGCAAGTTACACAACGGACAGCCAAAGGATGCGATCTATTTGGATTTGCAGAAGGCCCTTGACAAGATGCTGCACAGGAGGCTGCTAAACAAGGTAACAGCCATAGTGTTAGGGGCAAGGTACTGGCATGGCTGACTGGCAGAAAGCAGGGAGTAGGATAAAGGGGTGTTTTTCCAGATGGCAGCCAGTGACTAGTGGAGTTCCATAAGGGTCAGTGTGGGGACAACTATTCATGTTATACATTAACAAGCCAGACAAAGGAACTGAGGGCATTGTTGCTAAGTTTGCAGACGACACAAAGATAGGTGGAGGGACAGGCAGTGTTAAGGAAGTGGGGAGGCTGCAGATGGTCTTGGACAGGCTAGGAGAGTGGGCAAAGAAGTGGCAGATGGAATACAATGTGAGAAAGTGTGAGGTTATGCACATTGGTAGGAAGAATAGAAGCGTAGATTATTTTCCAAATGGGGAAAGGCTTTGGGAATCTGAAGCACAATGGGACTTAGGAGTTTCAGTTCTGGATTTTCTTAAGATCGACATGCAGTTCAGTTGGCAGTTAGGAAGGCAAATGAGGACCAGAATAAACAAACAAATGGGTTTTTGAGGGTGTGCAAGGCTCTGGTCAGTCTGCATTTGAATATTGAGGGTAGTTTTGGGCCCTGTATCTAAGGACAGATATGCTAACCTTGTTGGGTGTCTAAAAGGAGGTCTACAAGAATAACCCTACAAATGTAGGGCTTGTCAAATGTGGAGCAGTTGCGGACTCTGGGTCTACATTCAATGGAATTTAGAAGGATGCGAGGGGATCTCATTGAAGCCTACAAATACTGAGAGGCCTGGAGAAAGTGGACATAGAGTAGATGTTCCCACTACTCAGAGATCCGGACGTTGGGCACGGGCTTAGACTGAAGGTCCATCCCTTTAGAACTGAGATGAGGAGGAACTTCTTCAGCCAGAGGGTGGTGAATCTGTGGAATTCATTGATGCAGAGGGCTGTGGAGACCAAGTTATTGCGCGTATTTAAGACAGAGCTAGAAAGGTTCTTGATTAGTAAGTGGATCAAGGGTTATAGGGAAAAGGCAGGTGAATAGGTTTGGGAAACCCAGACATGATGGAATAGCAAAGCAAACTTGATGAGCTGAATGGCCTAATTCTGTTCCTATGTGTTATGGTCTATGCTAGAGTCTGGCAGATTGCTCCAAATGTTCATCTCTCGGAAAACATCACTCCTTCAAAATCAGCTTAAAAAGAAAAAAAAATCTTCATTGATTTAAATGCGAGTAGGCTGGTCAATTTAAAGGAATATTCTGAACAAACTGTTCTTTCCCATTTTTCCTCGAGACAATTCAGCTTCCCTGGTTTTCCCTCAGTGCATCTCCTTTAGACTTCAGTCTTATTGGTCACCTCTGCCCTGCTATGATTCTTTAGAAAGGCTTTTGGTGAACACACCTTTCCATGTGTGGCCTAACCAAGTACCCCAAGCATTAACTAATAATTGTCCTTTTAATGTGCCCTAGTAGATATTTGATCAGTTTTCCACATTCTAAGTCATCATTTTCCCATTCTAGTCCATTCATCTGCAACATGAAGCAGGCAAGGTGGTAAGCTGAGGCTTGAAAACTGGCACTTGAGATACCAGCGCAGGGCTCTTCATAGTCAGGCAGTGTGCCACACAACATGTGGTGTGTTTAATAATGGACAGTATGCAGTAAAATAACCACATCTCACTCACTGCAACGGTTTTCATCACAGCTTTTCACTGTATCCCTAACTGCTCTGACTTTTCCTCAATATCTTCCCGTTTTATCTCAATGTTCGGACTCTTACTTTTCTCACTGTAACTCATTTCTGCTCCCTCTCAGTGTAATTTTTCTACGCATTTCCATACAGCTCCAGCTGCTTCAAAGGGTGATCTTAGATGAATTATAAGTGTCCTTATGATGAGGAAGGACAGACAACAGAGAATGATGGCTCATCCGTGACCACCTAACAGAAAGCAAGTATGTAACGACATCAGCTCATGTCTGTTATGGTTGAACACCCAATGAGAAAACAAGCAGCAGCACTTTTAGGAACAAAAGCAGAAGTTGCTGGAAAAACTCAGCAGGTCTGGCAGCATCCGTGAAGGGAAAAAATAAATAAATAAATAAATAAGTTAACATTACGGGTCCAGTGACGCTTCCTCAGAATTTTGGGCACAACACGACATCGAACTCTTCTTTCGCTGTCTTCGCCTTCATGCCCCTTTCTTTGGGCAAGAGTCCTCTCCTGGTCCCACAAACCCCTTCGCCCAGTTCCAATACTCTCCCTCCATTGGACCCCTCCCTCTGGCCTTTTACCTGCACTCGATCTGTTCATCGAGAACTGTAAACATGATATTGGTCACCTTAATTTCCCTGCTCCCTCCTCACCAAATCCAATCTATCTCCCTCCGAACTGACTGCACTCCGTGCGCTTAGATCGAACCCTGACTTCGTTACTAAGCCTGCCAATAAGGGTGGTGCTGTGGTAGTCTGGTGTACCGACCTCTACCTTGCAGAGGCTCAGAGCCAGCTCTAAGATACCTCCTATCTTCCCCTTGACCATGCCCCCACCATGACACATCAGGCCATTGTATCAACGACAGTAACTGATCTCATTTCATCTGGTGACCTACCCCACACTGCCTCCAAACTGATAATCCCCCAGCCAGCGTCTAACTCGTCAAAAAAAAAAAAACAAAAAAAACCGAGAAACAGGACTGGTCAGGCAGACCCATTGTTTCAGCCTGTTCCTGCCCCACAGAACTCATCTCTTCCTACCTTGACTCAGTCTTCTCCCCCCAGTCCAATCCCTGCCCACGTACATCCGTGTTTTAAAAAAGTTTGAGGAAGGGTCACTGGACCCGAATCATTAACTGATTTTTTTCTTAACAGATGCTGCCAAACCTGCTGAGCTTTCCAGCAACTTCTGTTTTTGTTCCCGATTTACAGCATCTGCAGTTCTTTCGGTTTTTATTTAGTACTTTTAGAAAAAGCAAGACTGTTTAGAAACGGGCGAGGAGTGAAGATAAATCACTCTCCACATGGTTCTTTAACACATGAGGAAGGGTACGACAGATACATCACAAAGCCAGGGCTCTTAATGTGGCAATGGTAAACAATAAGTTGAAGGTCTGTTTGTATTATTGTGTTGAAAATATTCTCTCCAGTGCACAGCATATACACAGCCTTTTCACAATTAAACTGAGAGAGATGCAAATTAAAGGAAAAATAATTAAAGGACAAAACGCTCAGGGACAGATGTGGGACTCAACCCTTCCAATTCAGTGCAACGAAAATGAGCCCAAACTCAGCAACAATTAACACTAATTTGGAAATGACACTCAGTGAAAGTGTAGACAAATTTTCCTGAGCCCTTTTGTACCTGACTTTGGTACTGTGATGCAACTTGGGACAGTTCTGAAATTAAAAACACATCAGTACAAGTTTTGTTGCTTGATTAAAGAATTGAGGAAAGCTAGCTCCATTACTAATCAATCAGTGCAGGACCTGATCTGAAGCATTTAATGGCACAGGCTGGCAGTAGCCTCATGACTGGGAAGCATTTGAATTGTAGAGGGACTCTCATGTTGGGGGACATTGATGCTGACATAGACAACACCAAATAGAATGTACTTAGGAGCACAAGTTCCATAGGAACAGGTCATTTAGCAACTTCAGCCTGTCCACCATTCAGTGAGACCATGACTGATACCGGTCTTCTCCCATACCAATGAATTCCTTTCGTTAAAAAAAAAAAAAACTTTCAATTGATCATGCATGACAACTATCCACCCAAGAGAGTTCTAAATTTCTACTACCCTTTCTTTGTAGAAATATTTCCTAATTCTATTCATGAAAAGTCTGGGTCTCGTTGTTAGACTGCGCCTGGTCCTAAAGTCCAACCAGCAAAAGCAGCTCCTTACCATCTACCCTATTTCCCTTAATACCCTGAAATCAAATTATCCTTCAGCCATTTCCAAGTTCTACCAAATTCCAGGCAATACAAGCCTGGCTTACTTAATTAGTTGCAAAATACTGCTCTGAAAATTAATTCTTGGAGTCTAGACAGTGTTCAGGTAAATCTATGTTCCACTTTCAATGCATTTAAGGTGACCAATGGTGCTCTCAGCACAGTAGGTTTGGTCTAACCCGGGCTTTATGCAGCAGCAGCATGACGACTTCTATTTTCTTGGCTTTAAGGCACAGAGGGCAGCAAGTCCATTAGCCTCTAACTCTCTGCACTTGTTGAGAACCTTTTGCATACATATATACCGCCACACCCCAAAAAGATATTTTTGAACCTCCACCATTTCTAACTTTTCATCATTTAAAGGGTAGCCAGGTCTTTCCTTTTTAAGGTTCAAAAAAGTGAATGATTTTACACGTACATAAAAACCTATTTACCGCATTTTTGTTTACATATAATCCTTCAAAGTCCCCTTGTAATTTAATGCTTCCATCTGCAGTTTCACTAAGTTGTCTGTCTTTATGCCATCAGCAAACTGGAACATGTGGCTTTTAATCCTACATCAATAATGACTGTACAATATTTGGGTGCCATTGCAGAGATTCTTGCTGGACATAAGTTAGTTCTTGCCATTTGAGGTACCTGCCGCTATCCCCACTGTCTCCGTATCAGCCTGACTGAAATCTTCAGAAATACACAATTCACTAAAAGAATTGGCTAACCTCTTGAATTCCTCCAGTGGACTTGCAGTGTGAGAATGAGTTGAAGGTGAAGGCAAGGCTTGCTCTGGTTTTAGGCTATTGGAGAAACAGTGGAGGTGCTTGACCAGCAGTCTCACCATTAGCACATGCTCCTCTGTTGGAGTGAAGGGTTCCTATCAAATACAGAACAGATGTCAGAAAATGGAGAGAGCATGCAGAATCATAATTCAACACTAAGGCAGTAACTTAATGTAAGGACCCACTTGACTAAATATACCTCCTGCTCAGAACCATTTTTGATGGATCTCACATCTAACAATGACAATGGTAGAGTTAAATAATTAAACTAACATGCACCAAAGGCAATAATTCACCACCTCTGTTCACACCACAAGAACAATTGCACGGTCACTGACTTTCCTCGCTTCTCGTCTCTTCCTAGTAGCATCAGAACTTGTTAAATGGAAAATGGGCCGAAACCTGGGTCCTATCATCTGCAAAGCAGCCTGCTCACACATCACTTCATTCAAATTCACAGGTCTCATTCAAAATGAACTCTCACTTGTGTATAACGGGCTCACCCAGCAACAAGATCCAAAATTTCCTTTCTGATCTGTGAAATTAATAGATTTTGACCAAGATGAGAGTCAGGGCTCAGGATTGAAAAGTCAAAAAACAAAAATAGCCTAGGTTCCCATTTTTAATTGTGATGCTGTGGCTCCTGTTTGGGTTGTGTTAATATGTACACCAAGTGCAAACAACTGCAGGTAAAGCTGCGTTTTCAGCCTGCAGCTAAATGGCCAACACTCTCAATGTACATTCAGTGTAGACCAATTAGTCAAGATGCCAAGGGAGGTCCAAGAATCAGTCATTTCAGGGACTAAAGAGGGAAAGAAATCCAATTAAAATCAAGCACAGAGAAACAGGGTTGAGGTCAAGTGAGTCACAGTCTTCAGGGGTGAGGGTAGGAAAAGATGGTGTCGTTCTTAACCAAAAAACACATCCAGTCACACAATGTGCAAATCCTGTTAACTGGGAAGTGCACTGGGAGACAGTGGACTATATGGTTGGACTGTATTAGCAACAGTAGAGGGAAAGTGACAATAAAGTACAAGAGATGACACTGAACAGAATGATGCTGAACTAGTCACATTCTCAAAGAAGAACATTTAAGCAACTTGGATCAAATAATGACAATGTCACTGTTGCCTGAGCATTTGAACATCAGAGTCAAGTTATTCCAGGACAGGATGCCTCCCGCTTCCCTCTGATTTGCCAGATCTCATGCTGTTTGTTTGTATGTAGTTAGTTAACGGTTAACAGTTTCCTCCAGTCAACCACCAAGCGATGGGGCTGGAACTTATTCTTTCTCCGACTCTGCTCAGTAACTTCTTTCAGGACCAGCCTAGGCGAGGGGCACAGCCTCTTACATATCAATTTGTCCAGCATTCGGACAGCAATTTCTCCATTAATAGTTTCACTTCAGCATCCTAGACTTGAAAGTCAGGCTGAAGTATCATAAACAAAAAGTACTGATTATCACATCCGGTTATGTTGTGGGAGACACCTGACTACATCTGCTGCATCCCAAATAGGATATAATAATGATAAATCAAGTTAAATGTAAATATAACATAACAGGCTATAATTGATACTGCTGTTCTGAGTGTTACCTGGAATTGGGGCAAACCCTTTCTGCACATGCTGGCTATCATTTCAATCTTACTGCAGGCAAGAAATTCTGATGTGAAGTCACAACAAATATTCCCATGCAATTAAGTCACCAACACCGAAAATAAAATTCACAAAAAAAAATACTGAAGAAATGAAAACAGTTAGGAGGCCAGGATTTGTCTTGGATGGACAATGGGAAAAAGTCACATCTGTAACAGCATATTGGAATTCATTAAGACCCTGTTGCGCAGAATTCACCACCTTTAATGTATAAAAATGGTGATTATCAAGTTTATTTCTTGGTACCAACAACTCTCTGCCTACAAAAGGCAGTCTTTGGCACCCTTTCCATTTCAAGCAGTGGAACATACATCACGCAGGATGGTACCATGCATACTGTACGCTGTCAAATCCCAACAGGAGAAAGGTATGAACTAACAGACAAGCTAAACATAAAACACAGGATTTGGCCAACTGTTCCGTATTTATTAACGGTGTATAACCAAAGTCATCCAAGAAAAATGCTGAGTTGAAACATCTACAATAGCAGAATGCTAACACACCACAAAGAAAGCCACATGGTAACCCAAGGCAATTTGTAAATAAAATGTTACATACATGGCAAAACAACAGAACTCTGGTGAAATAAAAATAAGTAATCCTCAAAATCTTAGTGCCAAATGATGTTCTTGTTTTTGAGTATGTTGAAACAAAGACTGGTCTCATTCAGCCTGGAGATCTTCAAATGTTTCCAAGTGCAAATCTCTTGCTCTCTCAGCTACTGGTCTTGCAGGTACCCATGCAATAATTCCTTTTAATCTCAAAACTTAGATCTTGAAGGTGGCAGGAGAAATTGAGAGCTGGTCAGTTAAGCATATAAGACCTTGGATTTCATAGATTGAGGTGCAGATAACACAAGAAGTTACGTTGAACCTTAAGAAAGCTTTAAGTCACAACTGGAATATTGCATTCAGTTCTAGTCATACTTTAGGAAGGGTACAAAAATCTTAGAGTGCAAAGGAGATTTACCAGAACTGTTCCAAGGATCAGGGGTGGAGGTTTAGTTACAAGTTTAGGTTACAGAAGCTGGGATTGTTTTCCCTTGGAGCAGAAATTAAGGTGGGATTTGACAGAGGTGTACAAGATTAAGACAGGTTTAGATAAGGCAGACAATGAAAAGCTGTTTCCATTAGCTGCAGAGACACATTTAAGGTTTTGGGTAAGAGATATGGGGCATCTAAGAAAAATTGTTTTTATGCAGCACGGCAGGTGGTAGTAACTTCAAATTTGTTGACTAGGAGGATAGCAGAAGTGGAGATGATAGCAATTTCAATGGAGAATTGGATGGGCACTTGAGGGAAATAAACCTGCAGGGTTACGCAGATAGAGCAAGGGAAAGGGACGAACTGGAGAGCCAGGGACTGAAAAGTCTTTCCTCTACGTGATGACGACCATATCTCTAGACTCCCTCTCTCAACAATTCTAAGCCAGCCACACACTGTGCAATGCTCCTTGACTGAAGTGTGAATCAATTTGTCCAAGGCTGAAGCTGATGCTGGCTAAGCCAGCACTTATTGCTCATTCTCAATTGTCCTGTAGAACATGGTAGGAATTCACTGCTTTGAACTACTGTAGTCCTGGTTATGTAGGTATGCCTGTAGGGATATTCACTGCTGTTAGGGAGGGAATTCCAAGATTTTAAGCCAGCAATACAGAAGGGATAATGTGATTCTAAACAGGATGACGTGTGGCTTGGATGGGAACTGGCAGGTCGTGGCGCTCCCATGCATCTATTTTCCTGGTTTCCTACATAATAGATGTTGTGGGTTGGGAAGGTGCAATTGAAAGAGTCTTTACTGCAGGCCCTGCTCTTCAAAATAGCGCATGAGAATTTTTACATCCACCTGAGGGTAATAAGCCTCCCTTGGTTGGGAACCGCATCAATTTTTGGCCAAGTTGTTTAATTTTAGGTCTCCAGCACTGTTCTGTTCTTCAATTGAAAGATGTGTCTCCATATACTTCTTAACATGTTCCAACATATGTCTCATGCTAAAGCACAGGCTCTCAAAATGATTAACTGTCCGAATATTGATGGCTCTTCTCCTCTCTTTCCAATTGCTCAGGAGTTTGTTAGTCTCAGCCTGACTCTTCCTCATAACGTCTTTTTCAACCATCTAACTTTTCTTCAGGTCTCATCCACTGCGTTCTGTTGCTTTCACCCAACTTGCAATATCTCGGGTCAACAAAAATTGATGGTAATTTTAAAAAGAGCATTTCCTAATGTCCCTCTCAAATAAAATCAACAATTTATGCCTCAGTGACACTATTGTAATATTTCATTTATTGAACCTCGAAGACTTAAGTGTTTTCATTCCCCTTCTTCCTGGTCCTGTCCAACAGTTACAGACAGCAAGACAGGAAAGCATCCAGACACTGCATTGGGTTTTGGGCTGCACAGAGAGTCAATTGCTGTTGAAGAGTGTTAGGCACCAGGGAAGAAACCAAGCTCCTGGGAAGCAGCAAAGAGATAGCAAATCTACAGGAGATAGCAAGGCTACGAAATAGGATTAGTTATTCAAAAGCTTGTATTTAGCAGATGTTTTTCCAGTTTTTTCTTGAGAGAGTTATCAACCTCTTGTCCTTCAGTGATCAAATTGTAGCATTTTATGCTGTGACACAAATTGATTTAAAGCAGTACCTTAGGTAACTGGTCTCATTTCACAGTATCCCAGGCCCACATACAGTCAATCAGCTGGCTTGTACACTCAGTACTTGATTGACAGCCTCAGTTAAGAGTCCCATCACGGGACAACCCACTTCCTGAAACATAGTAGACACCATCCTGCACTCAGGAGTCACTGATTGGCACTATTTGGACACCACAGATTCTGAGTTTTACCATGTGGCTGACAAGATTTATTAAGACACCAAAAATGAAAATAAAAAAAGGTACTTGGTAAGTGTGGAAGGTGCCATGGCCAGGCAGTGGCGATGTAGTGTTGTACTGAGTACTGCAAATACCGAGGCGGTACTGTAGCACTTCCAACTGGGGGTTAGCATCCGAGAACAAGACAATACAAAGAGGAAAGCATTAACCCAGAGAGAGAGAGAAAGAAACATTATAAATACAGCAAATCAACATTTAAAAACATTCATTCATTGCTAACATTTAATATACATAAACGAGCATCATTAGCCCCTATACTGCCAAACTCCAGCTTCTAAAAACCATTATTAAGAAGTGAACAACTTTTACAGCCATTGGATCACAGTGGGATTGAAAGTTGATTATGGGTATTAGGTGTCAGATAAAGGCAATAGGTAGCAGATTGGAATGATGTCCAATTACCAAGCAGAACATTATATTGATGTGGGTTTAAAAAAAAAAAAGAGATCACCACATTAGTGAAACAAACTATTGCTCCCAGGCCAACGTCAAGGACCAGGAGCAGTGCTAATCAAGTTCATTCAACAATGCTCCCTGCGCATCAAACATGCTCAGGACAGGGACAGCACAGTTCAGATACAGAGTCAACTTTCCTCTACAGTGCTCAATATGTCAATGGATTCAGATTATACGCAGACTGCAAACAGGGATTTCAATTTGATGAGGACCATCAGTGAGATCGGTGGCCTGTCCCACAACCAGTACCAGACCACAGCACACAGCACGGCACTGATATTTGTAAATGAACCATGTGTTAGTAATGGCGATAAAACTTTGTTAGAAAAGACCACTGCAGATTTTTAATGAGGGACATTGTTTAGTGATAAATTTTGTAGAAGTATGTACGATCCTGCAACATTCTAAATATCTAGGTATCTAACCCAATGTTGTAAGTTGCCTTAAAGTGTTTGAAGAGAACAGTGAAGATGGAGCTGTGCTCTGTATCGGAGCTGTGCTCTGTATCGCACCCTTGCTGCACCTGTCCTGGGAGAGCTTGATATTGATAGGGAATGTCTTGTCTGAAATTAAAATGTTCCATTCTCGAGTACAAACATCCCTCACCTTGAAGTGCCCAAAAAGAAACATTTTGCAGAACTACTCTGCAGTCTCAAGCCTTCCATTTCCGGAAAGCCGGACAGATGCTTTTGGCACTGAACAAATGCTGGATGGCAGTTAAGGGGGTAAGCCATGACTGATACAAATTTGAAACACTGAGTAGTACATTACAAGAACATGATCATGATCAATTTACCAACAATTCTGAAATATACATTTTTAGTCAATGCAGCATTACTAAAGTCACAGAGGCTGCCCAGGAGGAACCAAAGCTAGTAGTGTTGTCACTGGGTTTGCATTGTAGAGTTTGAAATTTTCATGTCCGCTTGAACTGGCAACATGCAAATATCTTTAAAAATGTTAAATAAACAGAGTCACAACACTGCAATAGGTTATATCACGTTAACCCTTTTGAATTCTGAAGGATGCTCAGCTTTTGAAATACTGGTCTCATTTTTGGCTCATTTATGAAAATCTAAACATTTGATCATCTTAGTGCCCAGTAGTTAGTCTAGCGGTGTGCTCTAGAGTGGTCAACTAGATAGGGCTTAATACAGGACTGCCAAGCTGTAAATTCAACCCATCAGTAAGGCGAGGTCATTGATGGTTTGAAATACAGGCAGAGAACAATTCTCACCATCTTCTTAAAAGAAGAAAATTATGAAAAGTAGGTTAATGCTGAGGCAGACCCTCATCCTCAAAGGAGTTAACTTGAGTTAGTCGGTTTCAAAGTGAATACCTGCGGCCCTGGCTTGCAATGCCCCGAACGCACAAGGCAGGCAGAATCAAAGCGGAGACGATGAAGATGACGAGGGGGAGAAAAAAAAGAAAATAATGTAGAGGCATAAAGCACATGCACCCAAAGCATCAAATCAACACGACGTGCAAAGCTGGAGCAGAGCTCTAAAGTGCGGCCAAACTAACTGGTCACCCACAGATTCAAAAACTCCACCCTGTACAATAGGGAGTCTCAGGGCAGCATGAATGTGCTATTGGGAGCTCTGGTTCACAAAATGAAACAGTTTCCGGCATCCGCAGTTCTTTCGCTTTTTATTCCAAGCAATAACTCTGCTTCAGGGGAGTGGTGTACAGGTTGCTTCCAGGTGCAATTGGGATGTTAGAATTTACTTATGAAATCTGATATTGAATCATAATACCACAGTGACCAAAAACAAATTACTGCAAAAGTTGAAATTTTGAAAATGCCTAAAAAGTGGAGAAAGGAACAAAGTAAAATGCTTCTCCTACAAATTCTCCTCTAAGTCTCATACCATTTTTAAATAGATCAGTGTCGCTGGGTCAAAATCCTGGAATTCTCTCCCCAACAGCACTGGCAATGTACCTATACAACATGGACTTCAGTGGTTCATGAGGGAAGCTCACCACCACCTTCTCCAGGGCAATTAGTGAAGAGTAATAAATCCTAGCCTGACCAACAATATTGCATCCCATGAGAGATTACAAGAAAATTTAAACTTCACAGTATACCAAAATGAGGATTAGTCTAATCACAGTGGTCAGGAATCATGTAGGGAGCACTCCTTTAGAGCTTGAAACACAAAATCGGTTTCAATAAAGCAGCACAGCAGATTAAAAAAATAAGGGGCTTGCAGGTTAAATCCAGATTAGTAAACCATTTTCAACTTTACGACTGCAGTATGCTGGAGCCTGCGCAAAGCACTTGAGACAAAGAGATAAAGCAGTCAGCTCAATTCATCAGAAAACAAATGGGAAAACAATATGGGAACACATACCTTGACATGGGGAGACTGCATTTTCTGATACAATTCCAGTGAATAATGGTGAAGCCACATTTCAATGAAAATCTGAGTGTAAATAACAGGAAAGAAAAAAGGTAACAAGCATTTAGGTCACCTCTTCTGTACCAGCTCTCGCATCCAAACTCCTCCCTCCTCCACCTCAACCCTTCCATCCTGGTGTGCTTCAAAAGCCCTGCCATCACATTTTGGCCTTGACTCAAAAGCCCATCATGCAAGTTATTTGAAACTTTTAAAATTTACAAATACCTCTGTTTTCCAGGGGATTTAACAGGTTAAATATAGTTCCCTCTGCTTGAACTTGTCTGGCACATTTGAAAATATTTCTAATCGACAAAGGTCTCCAAGGCTGTGCAGAAACTCCTGCTCACACAGATGGCCAATAATTTCTGCCTCAATCACTCCCTTGATGCTGACAGTTCTCATTAGGGTCAAGAATTTTTGCTCAGTCTGATCCCTGTTCATGTATGCCCTTCCTTGAATTGTGGAATATGCACTAGGATTTTGCTGCTCTTTAGAACTCAGCATTACACCATATATTCACCCAAAGAGAAACTGCAGGAGAAGGCAGAGGCAAGCAAACAGGAATTTATTTCTTCACTCCCTGTCAGCTTTCTGAAATTCATTTCAATACACAGTCAAACAAAAACACAAGACAGTGAAGAAATCATGCAAAATGCAGAGTGAGGCACAAAACAACTTAATTCAGCACCATGGCTTTTCTGGCTAAGAGATCAAGTCTGACCAATTAGACACGAACAAGGACACTGAGTAACGGGAGGTCTTCAAAAGAGCAGATAACTTGAATGACTAAGGACATTCTCACCAGCTGGAAAGACAGGGCATTGAAAGCTAAAGTCAGCATGATGGCTGTGGTTAGCACTGCTGCCTTAGTGCCAGGGACCCAGGTTCAATTCCAGCCTCGGTGGAGTCTGCACATTCTCCCCATGTTTGCGTGGGTTTCCTCCGCGTGCTCTGGTTTCCATCCAAAGATATGCAGGTTAAGTGGATTGGCCATGTTAAATTGCCCGTAGTCTCCAGGGATGTGCAGGCGAGGGTGCATTTGCTATGGGAAATGCAGGGTTACAGCGTTAGGGCAGAGGGGAGAGTCTGGGTAAGACGCTCTTCAGAGTTGGTGTAGACTTGATGGGCCAAATTGCCTGTTTCCACACTGTAGGGATTCTATGATCTATGAGTCTATGATCAAAGTTTCCTGGATGACTAAAAGGTAAAAATTAAAATGGAAGTTAAAAGAGGTTCATGAAAAAATGCCAGGTTCATTATTTCAAGGAAAATCAAGTTCAATACAAAAAGAGGGGAACTTAAAAGTGAAAAGGGAGCAGCAATGACAGTCTGAGAGACTAGGTTAGTAGGCAGCCTAACAAAACTTATGACTTTATCAACAGTAAACGGATAATCAAAGGAAGAGTGGGACCAACAGGAACAAAAAAAAAGGAAAATGACCTTCTGGAGACAGAGGGCACAGCTGAGGTATTAAAATGAACATTCACAAAGAAAAAGGTTACTGCCAATGTAGTTACGAAGAGGCAGCAGAGAAATTGGATAGGACAGAAATCACTGAAGAGAAAAAGTGATTAAAAGGTTGCCAGCCTCGAGGTGGAATTACACGCTTGTTTCACAAGAGGAAAGGATTTATATCGTAAAATAACAAGTCAGTCAGCTTAACATTAATGGTGGGGAACTTTGAAACAATATCTGGCACAACATTAATTCACCCTTGTAAATATATGGATGAATAAAACAAAACTAGCATAGATTTATTCAATGTAAACTGTGTTTGACAAACTCGAGTTCTTAAACACTGAAGCTTATCATACAGGGTGGATCTTGCAGTTGCTCCTGGGAGTGCAGGCTTAGTTAAAGATTTATTATAGTTTTATTACAGTTATATTTCACCAGTATAACATTTTTATTCTTTTTGTTTCATTAACAGTAAGAAAAAAAACCCAAAAAACCAGACAAAAAAAGCAACTGATTTTTTGTCAAATGGACCTTGTTTTAAATGAGCTTTTCAGGGTCTATAGTGAACAGCTGAAGTTTTTTTATTCTAAAAAAAACTTAGAAGCTTAGCAAAAACTGTACACGTTAAAGGGAGTAGTATTTTTGTCACATTGCAAGAGTTGATCATGATTTTTTTCCTCAATTTAGATTTTCTTTTAAATCGAGCTTTTTGGAGGCCTTCAGAGAACAGCGGAGGTATTTTTTAATTCTAAATTTAGAAGTTTAAGAAAAAAAAACTATAGAAACTTTAAAGGGATTTTTTTTTAAACATTGCAAAAGTTTTTTTGAAAAGCCAAACTTTTTTTTAAAATAAGGAGTTGTTTTTAATTTCAGGTAGTATATTCTCAGTTTTTTCATCACTTACAGAAAATGATGTTAGGTAGTTTATTTTATGTATCAGGTGTTATTGAAGGTTGCTTTTTTTAGGCTTAATGTTATTAATGTACCTTAATGGCATAAGGTACAGTGAGATGGCTAGTAGATTCAGAAAAGTTATTACACAGCAGGATCAGTCTGATTGATGGGTGACTGTTGGGAAAGGCAAGAATACAGTTCAAAAGTTCCGGTGGCTATTCCTCTATTAAAAAGATATTCAATTTTTGGAACTGTAGAAGGGGATAGTCTCTCAGAGGAAAATGGAAGGGGCAGTTAGATATTGGACAGTTGGAATGATTCTTATGTTAGGCAGCGTTTGACAAAATTTAATTCTTATAGGGGGCTCTCCTGTCAGGGCATAGACAGGAGATTCTGTGGCAGTGAGGGTAAATTTAGGATGGTTTGTTGCTTTCTTGGTGCTAGGATTAAGGACATCTCTAAATGTTTCAAACATATTGTTAAAGGTGAGTTTGAGATGCCAGAAATTATTGTACACACTGGTAGGAATGACATTTTTAGGAAAAAGATTAAAGCAGTACATTGTGAATTTAAGAAGTTAGGTAGAAAATTAAAAAATAGAACCTTAAAAATAGTAATTTTTGGTTTACCCCCAATGCCAAATTCAAACAAGGGAACAAACAAAAGGTTAAAAGGAGATAAATCAGTGGTTGCAGAGTTGGCGTACTGTTCGTGGATTTAAGTTTTTGGACAATTGGAATGCCTTTTAGGCTACAAAAGACCTGTTCAAAAAAGGATCGGTCTAACTGATTTGGAAGAGGTCCAATATCTTAGCAGGGAGATTTGCTTGTTCCACTAAGGGAGACTTTATACTGAAGGGGGTGGGTGAGTGAAGGAATTATAAGCAGTAATGTAAAAGAAAGGATTGATGGGGAAGGTTCTGAATGTGAAGAGAACACGTCAATTAGTAAAGACAGATAAGAGAAAGTCAGAGTATGTAGTAACTCTGAACTAAAGTGCATTTATTTTAATGCAAGGGGTTTTACAGGTAAGGCTGATGAACGCAGAGCATGTTTAAGAACATGGGATTAGGACAATATAGCCATTACCAAAACTTGGCTGAGAGATGGACAAGACTGGCAGCTCAATGTTCCGGGTTTTACATGCTATAGGTAGGAAAGGAGGCAAGAAAGGTGGTGGTGGTGGTGGTTGTTTTTGATCAAGGAAAACATTACTGCTGTAACTAGAGAAGATATTTCTGAAAAATCGTCCAGTGAAAATATATGCGCAGAAAGAAGAAAGGAAAGATCACCTTGATGGGATTGTATTATAGGTGCCCCAATATTAAAGAGGGAAATTGAGAAACAAATATCTAAGGAGATCTCACATATATGTAAGCATAATGAGGTTGTAATAATGGGGAATTTTAATTTCCCAAACATTAACACTATGGTTGCCCCAGTCAAAGATTTGTATGGTGAAAAATTTGTTAAATGTGGATGCTTCTTCTAGAGAAGTAGCAAAACTAGACCTTCTTTTGGGCAATAAGGCAGGGCAGGTGACTGAAATAAAAGTGGGGGAACACTTTGGGTCTAGCGATCATAATTCTATTAGTTTCAAAATGGTTATGGAAAAGGATAAGCCTTCCATAAAAGGTAAAAAGTTTTAATTGGAAGAAAACAAATTTTAATGGTATGAGACAAGACCTTTCAAATCTTGATTGGAGTTGACTGTTCGCAGGTAAAAGGACATACTGACAAGTGGGAGGTGTTCAAGAGTGTGATGACAAGAAATCAGAGGCAGTATGTTCCTGTCAGAGTGAAGGGTAAATCTGGTAAGATTAAGTAACAATAGAAGAAGAAAGATATTGAGGTTCTAGTCAAGAATAAAAGAGAAACTTATTTTAGATTATAGACATGGTTGAATTGAATCTCTTAATCAATATAGGGTGTCGGGGCATCCTTGAGAGAAACCTGGAAGGCAAAGAGGGGATGTGAGATAGCATTGGCAGATAAGGTTAAGGATAATCCAAAGTGATTCTACAAATACATTATGAGCAAGAGGGTAACTAGAGAGAGGGTAGGGCCTCTTAAAGATCAAGGAGGTCATCTTTGTGTTGAACCCCAGGAGATGGGAGAGATACTAAATGAATATTTTGCCTTTGAACGTACCTTCCAGATGAAGCAACACTTCACCTGCACTTCCCAGAACCTAGTCTACTGCATTCGCTGCTCACTATGTGGTCTCCTCTACATTGGGGAAACGAAGTGTAGACTGGGTGACTACTTCGCAGAATATCTACATTTTGCTCGCAAAAAAGACCCTGAACTACCTGTTGACTGCCACTTTAACGCACCACCCTGCTCCCTGGCCAACATGTGTCTCAGGTTTGCTGCAGTCTTCCAGCGAAGCCCAACGCAAGCTGGAGGAGCAACACCTCTTTCCACTTGGGGACCCTGTAGCCCTCCGGACTCAATATCAAGTTCAATAATTTTAGGGTCTAAACTCTCCCATGTCCCAGCCCCCTGCCCCACACACCAGGCCTTGTTATCAGAGATAGTAGGAACTGCAGATGCTGGAGAATCTGAGATAACAAGGTGTAGAGCTGGATGAACACAGCAGGCCAAGCAGCATCAGAGGAGCAGGAAAGCTGATGTTTAGCTTCTACACATAGCCTGCTATTACACACCACCTGTTGTTAGTCACTAATAGTCCCCATTAACAACTATTCACCCTCCCAGTCTGATCATTAGCAACTCCTTTGCCTGTCCAACTGTTGTTCTCTCTCTTTAGGCTCTATCCTATTGTTTACTCCCTACTAACACCACCCTCCCTATTCTTTGCATATAAACTGATGTTTTCCCAGCCACCATCAGTTCTGAGGCAGGGTCACTGGACCCGAAATGTTAACTGATTTTTTTTTCCCCCTCAGATGGCTGCCAGACCTGTTGAGCTTTTCCAGCAATTTTGTTTTTGTGGCTAATAGACAAGATCAGAATAGTAATGAATAGATGTTGCAGAAAGACACATACAACCAACCAATTGAAGATCATCAACGGAGATCGCAACGTGGCTTGTTTGCTACAAGTTTACATACCCAGGAAAAAGAAACATAACTAGGCATTGTGCCTTTCTTTGGAACAAACAAAAGCCTGGGGAAACCAAGATGGAAATGAAAGATACAAAAGTAGAAAGCAAACCATGGAAGAGAGGTAGCCAGGGCATGCAGCAAATAGTGTCCTTATACAAGAATGTTAAAAACATTAGTCTGAAGGTACTATATCTGAATGCATAGAGCACTCATAGTAAAGGAGACAAATTAACAGCACATATAATTGTAAATGGGTACAATATGATTACACCTACAGTGTCATGCCTCCACATATGACAAACACTGAAGGGTATTCAAAATTTAGGAAGGGTAGGAAAAAAGGGAAAGGAGGGAGGTTGTGCTAGTGAAAGATGAAATCTGTGCAACAGTGAGAAAGGTTACAAAACAAAAAGGGGTGAAAAACATTAGTGGGAGTTGTCTTTTGGCCTCCAAACAGAAGTGGTATGGTAGGTTATGGCATTAAAACAAGTCATTGAATACATTTTTAAAAAGAAACAAATAGATTTCTAGAAGCTGAAGATGTCAAAAAGCAAGGGGCAAAGGCAGGAGTCCAGCACTAAGATCAAGGTTGAGCTGTGATCATACTGAATGTCATGTGAGCTGGATGGGCCGAATGGTTCTATTCTACACCTGTTCCTTTATTCTATGTTTCTAATAATTTCTTGATATATTCTCCATGATTGTGGGCCGACCGATCAGTCCCCACGGGCCGACCGATCAGTCCCCTTTTCTCAGGCAGTATAAATTGTTGTTCCCTTTGCAATTTGGTCTTCTTACACTCAACAGTGCATCTCTTTCAGCAATGCTAAAGGTCTGTGCAACCATACGACTGTTCGAATGTTGTGTTCAAGACTAGACCAAAGTTTTACAGTGGTCTCATCCAAGCATCAGTATTAGGATCACTATTCTTGCAAATATATAAGAATGATCTGAACTTGGAATATACAGGATATAATTTCAAACCTTGCAGATGACAAAAATCTAGAAATGTCAAAAACAGTAAAGATAGAAATAGACTAGTGAAACGGACAGAGATATGGACAAATTTAATGCTTAGATATAAAATGATGGATTTCGGTCAGAAGGACTGGAAGACAATATGAACTAACTGGTACAATTTCAAGAGGGTACATGAACAAAGAGACCCATGAGAGAATGCACACAAGTGTCTGGAGATGGGCGGACACATAATGAAGGCTATCACGAGCTGTAATGGATCCTTAGCTTTGTAAATTGAGGTGCCATCATAGAGTATACACTGATAAACACCAGTCAAAAACAACCATCAACTATTTTAAACCAATTTTCAGGTACTTGGCCATAGCCTTGTATGCCTTGGTATCACAAGTGCACATCTAAATATTTAAATGTTATGAGGGCTTCTGCCTCTATCACTCTTACAAACAGCAAGTTCCTGATTCCCACCAGTCTCTGGGTAAAAATGTCTTTTCTCATATCGCCTCTAAACCGTCTGCCACTTAGATCTATGCTGCTGGTTGTTGATCCCTCCATCAAAGGGGAAATAGTGGTGTTCAAAATCATGAAGAGTTTCAACAGAATAACTAAGGACAAACTATTCCCAGCGGGAGAAGGGTCAGTAACCAGACAACACGGATTTAAGGCAACTGGCAAAAGAACCAGAAATGACACGAGGCCAGCATATGAGTTATGAGGATCTGGAGCACACAACTTTAAAGGGAAGTGGAAGCCAATCCAATAGCAGTTTTCAAAATGGGAACCGGATTAAAAATGGTATGAACTCATGTAATGTTGAATTTTTGAAACCTATTTTTTAGGCCAGAAGCCACTTCCATGGCTAATATTTGAGGGATTGATAGAACTCCAAGTGGGATCCAAAAAAATGCAACAGATAAAGTAAACATTAAATCTGAAGAGTTAATCAATAATAAGTTAAAGCAATTAATCATTATAACACAACCTGCCATTCATAATCTACTCACTTCCATAATTCAAATAAAAACGAGATGGATTACTGAATTAAGCAGGATATAGAAGGCATGGCCAGAATGTTTGGTCAAAGTGACAGGTTTTAAAAGAGGAAATCAGTTGCAGGGGTTGAGGGAGGGGAGTTCCATTAGAGTCCAGTTAAATAACAATACATCCATCAATGGTGTACATGGTAGGGGTGAGGAAGAATGGTATACAAAAGATCAAAAATGGAGGACTGCAGAGCTGGGGCAAGGAGATGTAACATGAAGAAATCACAATATCTGTGCTTAAATCTGTTTAACTAAGTTAGTGAGCCCAGATTGGTGGGTGAACTGGGACTTGGTACAAGTTTCGATTCAGAAACAGAGCTTTGGATACACTGATGTTTACAGAAGGTAGAAATAGAAATAATGGGGCCGAAAGTAACAAAGGAGTAGATCAAAGTTTCAAAGACATGCAGGAGGGTGAAATTAGGAAGGCTTTGCAGTCATGAGGACCTGGAATTGGGAGCTCAGCTTTCGAAGAAGAGTATCAATCTGGTTTGTTAATACTGACTCAGTTCATAAGTAAATATGAAGTGCTGTCTGCCTACAAAGTCACATTCAATACACTGAGCAGGACAGAAACACATAGCAAAACAAAGACCCGCAGCAAGAAAAACACCAAACCGTATTGATCATTACCTGAAGCAGTGTTTCAGATCTCCAGATTTCCTGAGCAGCTGGGTCTGTATTCACAGAGGGCTGATGTGAAATGTGACGTTTCAGTAGGCTAGTGTGGGGCCCACCATAGGACGTAAATGGTACACTCTGAGTTCTGTATGAAGAGAATGAAAATGGATATTGAAGGAGGACACAACATCTTGGTAAACAAGATGTGCTAGACATTTTCCTCCCGCTGATAAATGGTTTTAATAGCAAGTGGCTCGGCCAGATAAATTCTTAACAGCTTCCTGAATCAAGTCCTGCTTGATAACATCAGCATTCTGTGGGTGAATACTGAGGGAGTTGGCACACTTACAGTGGAAGAAAATAAATAAGGAGAAAAGCATTTGGTAATTTCATCCCAGAACCCCTAACGTAATTGCTACTCAGAAAAAGAAGTACCTTGGTGTTGGAGGAGAAACTGTTCCACATGCATTCAGGATTGGTGATGGTGGCACATTCCCCTCTGTAGGAAGGAAGTATTTCAGGTACCTGTCCACTATGACAAAATAAGCACTGTCTGAGGTGCTGAAGAGCTGCCCAGATGGACAATTCTGTAACAACAGTTGAGAGCACTGTTAAGTGAACAAGATACATCCCACAAGAGCCTTGCAGATTTTGAGAAGCATTTTATCAGTCTACACCCAGCCCACGATCTGCCACACAGTTCTGCGAAGTATGTGTCGCTTGCTACTCCCAAAAAGTAACAAAACTAATGAAATATTATCGTGGTCCACATTTGCAACAGCAAGGCTAACTCTGGAGCATTCAATACCGTCAATAAAATGAGAGCAAAAGGTGGAGAGAGCTTCCAATAACAATTTATATTTACACAGCACTTTAACATGGGAAAAAATAATCAAATGCAAACTGCCACCAAGCTACATAAGCAGATATAGGGACACATGATCAACAACTTAAGTAAAGAGACAGATTTTAAGGAGCATCTTGAACAAGGAAAACTGCGTGGTGTTAGAGATAGAATGGAGGAAGATTACATGATGCACAACTACCTGAATAGATCTGATGAAAGGGTCATAACACTGAAACAGATCTATGTTATAAATCACACGGAACTGCCTTGAATTTATGGGATGAATTATTAGCCACAGGGCCAAGATGACAGCCTTGACATCCCTGACAGAGGCCAGGTCAAAGTGTTGGCAGTGGGTAGAACACCTTGGCAGCAGGCTCTCTCTGCCCTTCATCCAGTGCTGCTTCATATTCAGCAGTCCTAACTTACCCGTGGTGTGGTGAGATGCATAGCAAAATTGAAGAAATAGTATTCGAAGGGATCTGATTATGCAGGTTAAGAATTGCAAACTATTTACTTAAAAAAAAAACAGCTGTGAAAGTCTCTGCACTGCTGGTTTATCTCACAGCTGTTAAAAGAACTAATCCCAATGTTCCAAAGAATTTCACAGAATGAAGAGCACTAAGTTTACCTCACGACAACCTTTTAACGTAATGAATGACTCGTTTCTTTTCCTTCAGAAAAACAAACATTATTCTGTTTAGTGAGAAGTAAGAGAATCGTTCACCAGCAACACGAGACACTTAATTGGCCTAAGGCAGTTTGGATGAGTTCTATATATTGTTAAATGTGAAAACAATGCATCAAATCTGACAAATAGAGTTAGGGAATTAATACTTTAGGACAAGTTTAAACTAGTCTCACACTTGCAGCTAGGGTCCCAGCCTCAGTTTGTTTGGACAGCAACCAAACATTTTCCATCTGCAAATCAGAGGTTTTGGCTGGCCTAGACACACACAAATAAAGGTGGTGGGGCAAGTTGAGAGGTCAAGATCCTTGGATTTATAAATAAGATTGGTTAAGCTAATCCTTTATGATGCCAGCTTTGGAGTCAACATAATTTTGTGAAAGGGAAATAATGTTGGAGCATTGTATTTGAGCACTTTGAAGATGTAACCAACACGGTCAAGGGAAAACAGTCCATGTAGGCCGATTCTGTAAGTGCCACGTACTGCCAGGGCTAACAGCCAACCCTCTATCTGTGCTGCTAAGAAATAGTCATATTGTGTCATTGTCAAGTTGACAAACTGTAAACAGTGTATGCCATATGAATCACATCTAGAGCCTCAACTATTTACACTCTACATCGATGATCAGGATGAAGGGACAGAATATTTTGTAGGAGTTATCATTCGCAAATGATAGGGAGGAATGTCAGTTATGGGTAGGATAAAAACAATCTGCCAAAGGATCGAGATAGGAGAGCTGAGTGGACAAAATTTGGCAGATGGAGAATAAAGCAGGACCATTTTTTTTTCCCTGAAGAAGGGTCTAGGCCCGAAACGTCAGCCTTCCTGCTCCTCTGATGCTGCTTGGCCTGCTGGGTTCATCCATCTCTACACCTTGCTTTCTCAGATTCTCCAGCATCTGCAGTTCCTGCTATCTCTCACATAAATTAGGCTGTTCACTTTGGCATGAGAAATAGAAAAACAGAATATAGACTGCAGAATGCTACAGTACAGGGATCTGGGAGAGATGGCACATGAATCATAAGTTAACATGCAGGGACAGCACGTAATTAGGAAAGTCCTTATTGCAAGGGGAATAGAATATAAAAGTAAGAAAGGTTTGTTATTAGTGTGTAGGCCTTGGGTGGGACTGCACTGAGAATACAAAGTACAGGTTTGGTCTCTTTACTGACGGATGGATATACTTCTGTTAGAAGCAGTTCAGAGAAGGTTAATTTGGCTGATTACCGAATTGAAGAGGTTATCTGATGAGGAAATGTAGAGTAGGCTGGGTTTTTATTCGTTCAAGTTTAAAAGAATACGAAATGAACCTTTGAAACACGGGATTCTAATGGATGCCGAAAGGATACTTTTCAATTGTGGAAGAATGCAGGATTATGGGGGCACAGTTTTAATAGTAGGAGTCGCCCATTTAAGACCGAGATGAGGAGGAATTTCTTTTCTCAAAGGGTCATTAGAGTTTGGAATTCTCTTCCAGACAGCAGTGGCAGGGTCATTGAATATATTCAAGGCTGGGTGTGACTGGTTTTCAATCTGCAAGGGAATAAAGAATTAAGGTGGCTAAAATTGGAAAGTGCAGTTGAATTTACAATCAGATTAGCCATGATCTTATTCAATGCTGGACAAGCGTGAGGGGTGAAATGGTCTACTATTGCATAGCTTATGATTGCTACATATCGTTGGTTAGGTCTTAGCTGGAGTACTGTGCTCAATTCTGTGCTTTAGGTAGCATGTTAAAGCAGAGACTGTTGAAGAGATTTACTAATAGGGTACCAGGAATGAGAGATCCAATAAAGCTTTAATCATTCTTCTTTGAGGGTACCTATTGCAGAAGGCCCAGCGGTAGCTTCCGGAATGCAGAACTGACAGCACGTGCAGGACAGAGCCAGGAGAGACAACTGGCATGCTATCTTTAAACGAAATATGGTTATAAGTGGCAATCTGTCTATTTTCATGGTCAATGTTTCTGGTTAGAGCTGACAAGTTACTAGGTTTCACACACCATGACGGGATTTGAACTCCTAACATCTAGGTGTTTTGTCCAGTATCACAACAGCTCCACCAAAATACTCCAGGGTTTTCAAGTCACTAGACAGATGCAAGAATCCTGGCAGTTGTGTATAACCAATTTCAGATTTTTGGTAGCAATTTCCATCCTTACAGTATCTGAGCTCAGATCATTGTAATAAGTCTAGTTAGGGCTCAAGGCTAGGGCACTGTACTCTGTCTTTATTACTTTCCAAACATCCTCTGGGATCTGAAACCATTCTCGTGTTGAGGTGCATTTGTTCTTGCTAGTGTGACAGCTCAGAGCAAGTACGATGACATGAGCTGGGACTTTTGGCAGTGAATCAAAAGACTCAAAGGTCAGGTATAGCTACATCAGTCAATATTTCCAGACATTCTAACCAGGCCCTCAACTGAGATAACAAATAAAAATGCCCTGAAGCTAGTTATTCAGATTATCTCAAAATCAAGCAAATTAATATCCTTAGACACAAACTACAAGAGGAGAAGGAACTGGCAGCGATACTGCACAGATAAAGCAGAGGTTTCAGCTCCACATATACTTGAGTCAAAGGATACTGAGTGAGAGACTGAGGTTGGTCAGTCCTGAGAGAGGAAACTGCAGCTTGTTATGATACAGTGGAAAATCAGGTAGAACACCATCTTGGATTGAAGCCTTCACAGAACCCTGGATTATAAAAACACCAACAGACCAGTATTAGAGAGCATTAAGATTCTCTGGAATCTAGTGTCAAGCTGCACATAGTTTACATGTTTTTTCTTTACATAAGTTTCTGCACAAGAAACATTCATTTTTTTTTTACAGATATGTGTGGACATAAGGAAGACAAAATTGGTCACAAGAGTAGACAAAACATCTCTGCAAATGATGGGAGGTACAACTGCAGCAATCATAGCAAAAGATTTTTTTTTCTGTCGAATGATCATTAGGGACTAAATAAAAACTGAAAGAACTGCGGATGCTGTAAATCAGAAACATGAAGAGAAGTTGCTGTAAAAGCTCAGCAGGTTGGCAGCATCTATGAAGAGAAATCAAAGTTAACAGGTAAGGACAATAGGGGAACCCTATTGCTGTTGTGGGAGGGAAGAGAAGGGGTGAGGGCTCTGTCAACAACGGTGCTGGGGAATTCTCGGTTGAGGAAGAAGGTGACCACTTCAAAGTCTCCCTTTTTGAAGTTGGCCTCATTGGAACATATGCGACGGAGATGGTGGAACTGGGAGAATGGGATGGAGTCTTTATAGGAAACAGGGCAAGAGGACTTATAGTCCAGGTAGCTGTGGGGAGTCATTGGGTTTACAGGTATACATTAGTGGCCATTTTATTCCCAGAAATAGAAACAGAGATGTCAAAGAAGGGAAGGGAGGAGTCAGAGATAGACTAGGTGAAAGTGAGGGCGGGGTGGAAATTGGATGTGAAATTGATTAACTTACAATTCCGGACAAGAGAGGGAAGCAGCACCGATGACATCATTGATATATCAGAGAGAAAGAGTTGTGGATGGAATAAGGCTGGAACAAGGAATGTTCCCATGAAGAGACAGGCATAACTGGAGCCCATGTGCCTATCCATGGCCACCCTTCTGACTTGAAGAAAATGAGAGGAGTTAAAAGTTATTCAGGATGAGGACGAGTTCAGCCAAACGGAGTAGGGTGCTGGTGGGTGGGGATGGTTCAGGCCTTTACTCCAGGAAGAGGCAGAGAGCCCCGAGACCATCCTGGTGGGGAAATCGGCAGCCATGGTAAAAAGAGGAGGCGGCTGGAGCCTGCAAACTGGATATTCTGAAACTGAAAGCGGCAGAGGATCATGGATGTAAGTAAGCAGGGACTGGACCGGGGAGAAAAGACCAAGTCAAGGTGGGGAAAAAAACTCAGTTCTGTAGGGTAGGAGCAAGCAGAAACAATGGGTCTGCCCAGGCACTCCTGTCTGTGGATATTCAGAAGGAGGTAGAAGCGAGCTGTGTGGGGCTGGGGGAAATATCAGCTTTGAGACAGTGGAGGGGACATCACCAGATGAAATGAGGTCAGTGACTGTGGTTGATATAATGGCTTGATGTTCAACGGTGGGGTCACGGTCTGGGGGAGATAGGAGGTGGTATTGGAGAGCCAGCTTTTCCAGTAACTTCTGTTTTTGTTTCTGATCATTAAGGACTGTATGGGGAAATTAAAGGACAGTGCAAGACAGGTTTAAATTGATTCTCAGATTGTGGCAAAGTTTGAGTGATATTTTTGTATCATTGCTGTTGATGCTTCTGTTCCAAAGGAAGGTACTCAGTCCTGAACAGCGCAGATACAACAGATGACGGCATTCTGGACAGATTAGAAGAACTCAACGCACAAACAGTAACTATAAAGGGTCAATTAAGGAGATGGGGCAGATAGTACCCCTGCTAACTCCTGAATAGCTCGGCTGTATATTTGGGTAATTCCACTGAATTGAAAGTTAGTTCATGTACTTCCTGTTCAAAAAGGGTCAAGCCAATCTGATATCTGTTACTGAAGAACATGGCAAGCAATAAAATTATGATTTTATGATTTATTCTTTCATGATTACTGGCAATGGGAAAAGACCAGTAGAAATATACAACGTTGTTTCTGAAAAGATATAGAGTACCGAAAACTGGCATTACTTTTTGATTAGGTCATCCCATTATTATCAAATATTTTATTAAACTGGAGAGGGTTCCGAAAAGATTTACCAGGATATTGCCAGGAAGAATGAAAGGTTAAGACTTTTTTCACTGGAGCATAGGAGGTTGAGGAGTGACCTTATTGAGGTTTATAAAATCATGAGGGGCATAGATAAGGTGAATGACAAGGGTCTTTTTTTTAGGGGTGGGGGGTGGGGGCGGGTGGGTGGGAAACAGTTACAAACAAAAAAAAAAAAAAAAAAGCAAAGAGAAGAAACATTTAAAAAAAGGACAGGCGGGGCAACTCTTTTTTACAGTGAGTGATTCGTGTGTGGACTGAACTGCCAGAGGAAGTGGTGGATGCAGGTACAGTTACAATGTTTAGAAGATATTTGGATAAGTACATGGATTAAAAAGGTTTAGAGGGATATGAGTCCAATGCAGGCAAGTGGGACTAATTTGGTTTGGGAACATGGTCAGTGTGGACTACTTGGGCGAAAGGGTCTGTTTCCATGTTGTACGACTCTATGATCAGGTGGTGAGCTGTTAACGCCCTAACCAGAAAAAGTATTCTCTCGGCTGTAATAACTGATCATTTTGTACAACCTGGGACTACTGGCCTGCACAGCTCCCAAGGGCACTAGCTGTATATTCTTACTTTTTAATGATCATCATAGTCACTGATGTGGTTACTAAAATGTTACAAAACATAATTTGTTAAACCAATGCTGCCAATCTGCCCTGAACACAATACAAGTTAACGCAATCAATTCACTGTTCCATACTCACAGGAAGATACGAGACTGGGAATTCATACTTAAAATCTTCAGCCTGAAGTTTGTAAACTAACTTCATCATTGGGCCACTGTTAAACACAAGACAAAGGGAATTTTCATTAATGTTAAAAGGTCATTGAAGCGATGGATTTTAACAAAAACCTTGCAATAATATAGTTTGAAGCTTGCTATTTGCAAACTGGCTGCTGCTTTTCCGAAAATACAGTGAACACATTTCAGAAGTACATGAATGGCTGTGAAGCACTAGGGATATCCAGTGGTTGTTAGAAGTCATAGAGAGTCAGAGTAATACAGAATGGAAACAGGCCTTTTGGCCCAAACTGGTCCATGCTGACTGTGGTGTCCACTCAGCTAGTTGCAATTGCCCGCATTTGGTCCACATCCATCGAAAACCTTTCCATCCATGTACCAATCCAAATGATTTTTTTTTTTTTTTCATCTTTTGCTATTCTACCTGCCTCAACCACTGTCTCTGGCAGCCCATTCCATATATGCACCACTCTCTGCATTAAGAAGTTGCACCTCACAGCCTTAAGTCTTTCCCCTCTCATCTTAAACCTAAGCCCTCTAGTTTTCAATTCCCCATCCCTGGGGAAAGATGCATGCATTCATCCTATCTATGCCCCTCATGATTTTATACACCTCAATAAAGTCACTCCTCATTCTCAAAAAGTCCTATCCTGGCCAACCTCTCCCTATAACTCAGGCCCACTAGTCCTGGCAACATCCTTGTAAATGTTCTTTGCACACTTTCCAGTTTAACTATGTCTTTCCTATAACAGCCGGACCAAAACTGCATTGCAATACTCCAAGTGCACCCTCACCAACGACCTATACAACTGTAACATAATCATCCAACTCCTATACTCAATGCCTCAACTGATGGAGGCCAGCATGCTAAATGCCTTCTTCACCATCCTGTCCACCTGTGATGCTGCTTTCAACCAACTACGTACTTGTACTCTTCTGTTCCACAACATTCCTCAGAACCTTGCTATTTACTGTACAAGTTCTACCCTGGTTTGACTTTCCGAAGTGCAGCACCTCACACTTATCTGTATTGAATTGCATTTGCCAATCCTTAGCCCAATTCCTTAGTGATATATTAAAGCAAGCAAGTCCTTCTTTCCGATGCCCTTCACGCTTACAGGTCAACCCAAACGATATCACAATCCAATTAATATTTTTCAGTTGTCATTACTGTTACTAGGCAGTGAGATACAGCATTCAGTGTGAGAGCACCAACTCTCACAAGCAGCCAGATAAATGACCAGAAATAACATTCTCCTGATAGAGGGCTGTAAATATTGGCCAAACAGTCAGAGAAGCAGTACATTTATCTAAAGTCCACAGCAAGTCCAAAGATATGCAGGTTAGTTGGACTGGCCATGCTAAATTATCCAGGGACGTGCAGGCTGGGTGGATTGGACCATGGTAAAATCCTGGATTACGGGGATAGGTTTGTGTGGGTGGAATGTTCTTCAGAGCATCAGTGCAGACTCGATGGGCGAAATGGCCTTTTTCTGTGGGGCAGCACAGTGGTTAGCATTGCTGTCTCCCAGCACCAGGGACTTGGGTTCAATTCCAGCCTTGGGCGAGTGTGTGTGGAGTTTGCACATTCTCCCGGTGTCTGCATGGGTTTCCACCAGATGCTCCGGTTTCCTCCTACAATCGAAATGTGTGCAGGTTAAGCAGGAAGGTGATGGCAAATTGTCCTGTAGTGTCAAGGGATGTGTAACCCTTGTAGGGTTACAGGAATAGGGTGGGAGATTGTGGGATGCTCTTCAGAGGGTCGGTATAGACTTGATGGGCTGAATGGCTTCTATCTGCACTGTAGGCATTCTATGATTCTAAGCACTGAACCAGCCAAATATTTAATAGGGTTCGGTCACAAAATCAAAAACTTGATATCTAGAGATATTGTGCTTCCCAGAAATAATGTACAAGGCTCCAACTTCTGCTCATCAGAAATGCTAATAGTCACAGAGTCAGAATAATTCAGCACGGAAACAGATCCTTTGGTCCAACCAGTCCATGCCAATCATAATCCCAAACTAACTAGTCCCACCTACTGCGCTTCACCCATATCCCTCCAAACAATTTTTTATTCGTGTACTTATCCAAATGTCTTTTAAACATAACAGTACTTGTATCCACCTCTTCTCTGGAAGTTCAAGAGGTCACCTCTCAACCTCCTATACTCCAGTGAAGAAAGTCTCAGCCTGTCCAGACTCTCCTTATAACTCAAACCCTCCAATCCTGGCAACAGCCTGGTAAATCTTTTGTGAACCCTCTCCAGCTTAATAATATCCTTCCAAGAAAAGGGCAACTAAAACTGACTCTACTCCAGAAGAGGCCTCATCAATGTCCAGTAGAACCTCAACATGACGTTCAAACTCCTATACTCAGAAGTCTGAGCAATGAAAGAAATTGTGCTAAATGCCTTCTTAACCACCCTGTATATCCGTGACGCAAATTTCAAAGAATTACGTACCTGAACCCCTATGTCTCTCTGTTGTACAACACCACCCAGGGCCCTATCATTAATTGTACAAGTCTTCCCCTTGTTTGTTTTACCAAAATGCAATACTTTGCATTTATCCAAATTAAACTCCATCTGACACTCCTCGGCCCATTGACTTAAATGATCAAGATCTATTTGTAATCTTAGCTAACCTTCTTCACTGTCCACTATACCACTAATTTTAGTGCCATCCACAAACTTACCAACCATGCCTTCTATATTCTCATCTAAATCATTTAAATAAAATGACAAACAGAAGTGGACCCAGCATTGGTTCTCTCCTGTTAATTTTCCTTAGGGTCTTGTATGTTTCAAAAAGATTACCTCATTCTTTTTTTCTGTTCCAATTCTAGGTATTCATGTGTTATTTTTTTCCCCTGTCACCATTTGAAGTAGATATTTTTAGGCAATGTGTTCAGGAGTGCTATGACACATTTCTGGAGTATCAATCTTCTGGCCTAGAGGTTAGGACACTATTGATGTGCCACAAGAACCCTTCATCTCTCATTTTAGGTACTTTCTGATCAACCTGTTTAGAGACGTTATGACACACTTGAACACAGGCCTCCTGGCTCAGAGGTGAGGACACTACTACTGTGTTGCAAGATCCCTGTAGATAGGCAGAAATAAACTCTCATCTCACACTATTCCAGATTCACTGCAAGCTATATCGTTGTTTTCAAATTCTCTCCATAACTTTATTGTTTTCTTTCCAATCAACTTGTTCAGAGATGTTGTTACACACCTCTGGAGCAGATGGGACTTGAACGTGGGCCTCCTGGCCCAAAGACAGGGACCTACCAATGCACCATAAGAACCCCCTCTCATTCTGATGCAAGCATGTGAATTAGGAGCAAGTTAGGCCAATTTGCCTATTTCTCTTGTTGATTCAGATAGCCTGGTACCTGTAGGCTCTTGATCACCTCAGTTCGAGTTAACTTCCTCCCCAAACATCCCTCAGCAACACCCATCCCAACAGATGAAATGAAGGTCTTATCTAATGCAAGAATTCCATGTAAAAAAATGAGTGGCATCCACTGCTAGGGGTTCCACATATGTACTGTTGAAGTACTTACATGTTTTAGTCAGAAGCACCACAGAGTAGTTAATGGGGCATCAGTTTTCTGAAAGGGAGCTTAATCTCTCACCGGATCAGCTTTAGCCGACCTGGCAGTACTTGCCAGTGAAGCTTATGGAAATAGTCTTTGTTATACCTTATGCTAACTTGATTTGCTATTGACATTAGCAGATAAAAGCCACATATGAATAAAGGTTTACATCTCTGCAAGACCTCTCTCAAAGGGGTGTTTGAAAGTGAATTAGAGCAGATACTGCAATTCTGAAACTTTGATTCCCTGGTGGATATCAGATTGACTTATCTGGCAACATCAGTGAAGAGAGAAGCAGTTAGTGTTTCAAGTCTGATATGACTTTTTAGAACGATTCCAAAGAAGTCATACTGGACGGAAACTACTGCATCTATTTTCTCCACAGATGCTACCAGATCTGTTGAGTTTCTATCGGACTTTATTTATAGAACACAGTTTAAAAGTCAGGAGTCTCCCAATCAGGACTGGAAAACAATGTTTGTCACTGAATTTTTGATGGCAGAGGTAGATAATTCTTGACTAGCAAGGGAGTCAGATGTTATCAGGGTTAGGAAGAAAAATGGACGCAATCAGATCAGCCATGATCTTATTGAAGGGCAGAGCAGGTTTGAGGAGTCAAGTGTTTT